TAAGAGTTAAGAGATATTTTGCTTACTGTAATGGGAGTGCCCTTTCCCAGGGTCTTCCATGCAAATTACCTTCTGTTCCCATTGAGGTGTAAACCACCCAGGTCTGGGACCTGGGTTAATGCAAATTCCAATTGTTTGTTCATGCCTCCATTTGGGGGATGTTTTATCTTGGTTGTGTATTCAAAGAATTGCAGCAAAAGGGTCGGGGCGATTCTGTAGCCAGAAAGCCCGTAGTATGAAGTGTGTCCACACACTTCATACTATGTCTTTTTCTAAAAGTCAGGTATGCATCTTACTCTTAGATTCGTCTTTTGAGAATTTGATGTCTTGTATTGATTTGATATCTTTGAATTGGCTATGTAATTGGCATAATACATATTTACCTGACTGATAATAAATTGTTACATTTGATTTATTCTGACTTACTCTAAAATTATTTTCTCAAGTAGATTAAGTGAAGGCGTATGTTTCCGCAAATCTGTGTCCAGGGTTAAGTGCACATTAGATCTCAGGTTAGATGGAGCATGGTGCACATCAGGTGAGATTATAGATTTCTGACTAACTGCTTGACTTTAGTTAAGTTGTACTCAGTTGCGTTAACTTTGGGGGGCTAGGCAAATAGTACTAGCATAACCGCTGATTATTGTTTGAGCTTTATTCAAGTTGTACGTAGTTATTTTAACTATCAGGGGGCTAGATAAAAATATTATCGAAATGTTAACATATTTCATATTACTAGCAAAATCGCTGATTATTGTCTCAGCTTTAGTTAAGTTGTACGTAGTTATGTAACTATTGAGGGCTAGACAAATAGTACTAGCATAACCGCTGATTATTGTTTTGAGCTTTAACTAAGCTGTACATGGGTAACTGTAGGGGGCTAAACAGAACTACTATTTAAAGAATGGTAAGCATGGGCGACCTATTAAATAGTATTAGTCATAACCTCTGGCTAACGATCAGACTGGCGAGTTTGTGATCGTGGGGCCCACGTAGAGCAGCCGATGTGAGGTACCCTGAGCGACATAGATTCCTAATGAACGAGTAAATATAAAGTAAAGAGTTAACTAGAATAACCAAATGTTAGAATAATAGTAATAATTAGAGACAGACAAACAATCAATTTGCCTTTCAACCTAAATTCGAGGTCATACTAAAATGGAGTCAGATTAGAATTTAATTTAAAATTGAATAACTTTGCGCGCTGAAAAGACCGAACACGCAAGAAACCTTCAGCCACCACTGGATACCTTCCTTGGGCCAAGTGTGTGGACCTTAGACCTTGTACTCCTCTTTCGGTCTACCTGTTTCCTTTCTCTCTAACTATCTGATCCAGATGTTTGATCCCTCATTTTTTTCCTTTTACGATTTTCCACTAAAGTCCAATTACTATTTTCAGTACTTTCTGAATCCATTCCATCCGTCTCCGGATCACTTCCTGAATCTACGCAACTTCCTTCCATCACCACCTCAGTCACACCCCAGTGTTGCACCGCATCTACGGTCCGACTCCACCAGTTTCATATTAAAGCGTCTTTGGTGTTTCCATGTTTTCTACAAAACAAAACCGGAAATCGAGGGGTTATGACGTCATTGGCAGGCGACACAATGACACTATGGACGCGCTCCGTGTCACTAGTTTAAATTGCTTATTTCTCTGGATTTAAACATTCTTCGAAACATTTGGGATAATGTAAGTACACAAGTCAGCAAAATATATAACACTATTCTAGTGGTTTTTGGATATGTTAATAAAAATAAATAAATAAATAAAAATCTTACATATTGTGCCTTTAAGTCAGTTACCTGCATTTACAGAGCCAATAGAAAAGAACCAAACAGCTAATTAAGAACAAGGCACAGCCCACAGCGGTCATCCTGTTATAATGATACAAACGCCTTCACAAAGTTATAACAGAGTATATGGAAGACTATATCTGTCTGGATTTTAAGAAATGCCTTCAACCAAAATGTGTGCACACTATGAAAAGTAAAGAAAGTTCTCTGACTAAAAACTCAATGAACACATCGAGAGAGAGATCTACTCACTTGATTAACATCTGCTAATATGTATCTCACTGCTTTCTCGTCTCACTCATCTGACTCATCATTCAAAGCTGACAATCATATTTTACATAGCAGGATGAAAATGATAAAATGGTTGACAGTTTTAACAGGGTAGCCCACTGTTTTTAGGTGGTAATATGAAAACACAATTCAAAATAATCTCAAAGCAGTGAAAACCGGCCTGTTGTGGCCTGCTTTCTCTCTCTCTCTGTGGCTGTTCTGCCATGGTTTGGTTAAAGTCACAGTGAAGTAAAATTTCCTGGCAGTGAGAATGAACACATCTTGTGTTCCATTAATATAAATGTAACATTAATCTTCTTTTGGAAGGAGAGAGGAGTGTGTGAAACGTGTGTATTTTGGGACACAGTTGCTAGGTGGAGTACAGGTGTGATATATTTCTTATGTGTCCCTGCTTTATAATATTTTCAGTCTGAAGAGCACATAAGGAAAAATAATTCAATTCAATTCAAGTTTATTTGTACAGCGCTTTTCACGATACAAATCATTGCAAAGCAACTTTACAGCTGACTGTCAGTTAATGTACATATGGCAGAAATGTATGGAAAAATCAATCAAAGACGTAATCAAATAGACGATGAACACTATTAACAGCAATTATTATATGATGCAATCAAACTTATAGCAAAATGTGGTAGTTATGTATGTTGTTTCAGGGTTGGCATCATCTGAGGTCCTATGAGGGGTTGGCATCACTTCATTATTGTACTCACTTCAAGACTGAAGCTTGTGTAAAATAAGGTCATTTATTTCCAGCAGTGGGAGGTGGTCCATGTTGTGTAAAGGATTGGTGTGTTCTGATTTACAGGAAGAAAACATTATGTAATCCCAAAAGGACGGTCTGGCAGATCTTTATCCATAGGAGTGAGAGAAAAATACTTTCCCCCACACTTCTTTAGCGATCCCAAAATGATTAAAAATTATTTTGAAAAGTAATAGTGTATGATTTAGGCTAAAACGCGTTGTAATTATTTCGGATGAATAATTACTAATAAATACATTTATTTTCAGTTTTCCATGTTAATTTAGTTTACTTCAAGCTTGATTTACATGCTGGTTATGGTGTTGTGGTCATTCTGCTATAACTGAGGATATGGCTCCCCCTAGAGGACTTTTACACCATTTTCAGGAAGTTATTTGCTCATATTAGATATAACTAAACATATTTTGTCAGTTTACATATACCCAGCTGGTACACATATAGCATGATAACAGCCACCTCTGTGTATGAATGCGCTCTGACTGGTCAATAAATGCTTTAATTTGCCTCAGAATCTGTACTTTCTGCAAAACTGCCATTTATAGTCTGCCCATTCTCTAGTGCAGGGATCCTCAAATCTGGACCACTAGATCCACTTTCCTGCAGAGTTTAGCTCTAACCCTAATCAAACACACCTGAGCATGTTAATCAGTGCTAATCAATGTCTTTGGGATCATTAGAAAATCACAGGCAGGTGACTGCATTGGCCCTCCAGGGCAAGATTTGAGGAACCCTGCTCTAGTGACTCGCTCTAAATCAGGGGTGCCCAAGCTCGGTCCTGGAGGGCCGGTGTCCTGCAGAGTTTAGCTCCAACCCCAATTAAACACACCTGAACCAGCTAATCAAGCTCTTACTAGACATACTAGAAACTTTGTAGCAGGTGTGTTGAGGCAAGTTGGAGCTCAACTCTGCAGGACACCGGCCCTCCAGGGCCGAGTTTGGGCACCCCTGCTCTAAATGAATCCAGTCTCTCTGACAAGACTCTCCCTATGCTACCAATTACAATGCTCTTTACACCCCTTCTGTTTTGCACCATATCCAGTAGGGGGGGTTTAGAATAGAGACGGTCTCTCCTGATGATGATAGGATAGAGAAAGATGCAGCTGCTTTGGCAGGAGGCCTTATCTGGTGCCACAGTTTGTTCATGGGTAATCTACACTGCCACAATCAATCAGATCAGACCTTTCGCTTTGGAAGTGGTGCTCATGTGTGTGGTGCAGAAGCTAAATAGATTCAAAAATGTGTTTTTGTTTTTGTTTTTTTGGTGGTTGCAGGATGAAGTCAGAAAATATGTCTGGGCTTTTTTTCTGTTACATTTTTTTGATTGTATTGAATAAATGGACAAAATGTATACCTTAAATACAATGTAAAGTGTCTGCCAAATACATAAAACAATATAATACAAACAACACCATTTGCATTACTTCTATCCACATGAACGCATAACACCAATAAATAAATAAATAAAACTACAGAGATTTGATCAGGAAACCTTAGCATTTAAATATAATCATCCTATAATGACGTATTATTGGGATATACAGATATATTTATAAGTGTTTAATGTGAACACACTGCTTTACTGCAAAAACAAATATGTTGAATAAATGTCTTTGGGTCTCTGAATAACACTGATGTGTGTTTTTCCCCTGTGAGCTCCATTTTCTCACTGTATAAACCATATGAAAACTTTTTTCTTTCAATCAACAGTTATTTTCAATAAATTTTTCTTACTGTCATTTCATACAATAGCTTATGTCAGGCTTTACAGGTTTAATATTCTTTTTTTTGCAGAAAAATGAACTGTAGTAACCGTAGTATTTTGAAATAAACTACAGTAACCTTATATTTCTTTAAGGCACTCTACTGTCAGCTATCTCACATATTTTGGCAAAATACAGTCCATTGCATAGTGGTGTTGACAAAAGCTTCCAGGCTGGAAGTTTGGTGACGGTGAAGGCGCCGCCTCCGTTCTGTTCTGTTATCCCTCCCCCTTCCATCTTTTGCTCACATTGCTCTTCCCTTCGGTGGGAAAATTCCTGCTGGAACATCCACGGTGGATTTGAACTCGGGAATTGTATTGGAAAAGCAGGGATCTGCAATACACGCTGGAGGATTTTCTTCCATGTTCTTTCTTATATTGTTCAGGTATGTGCATGTGCTAATGGATCACGGCATGATAACAGATGTATTGTTGTGAATTATCCAAACAGCGGTGTCAAGTGACATTCAACACGACAGAAATGTGCACACAGACGTCGTTTTGGACACACCAAACTTCTCAAATATGCAGTTTACCTGTGAATTGCTACGCTGTTTACCTTGAAGCTGATGTGTTGCTGTTACAAATAGTATCTTGTTGCGTTGAGTCACGTCGTTGGAAATGTAGTTCCTAGATCCTGTGTGAATAAGAACTGTTATGGAGGTTGAAAAGGAAAACTTTATGGAGGTTTTATTGTTGTTAGCCTATCTATTACTGTTTTGTATAAGACTTTATATTAGTAAACAAGTGAGCGATAACAAAAGGTTAAAATTGTCTCGGAATACAAGTTTACAAAGAAATGCATTTGGAACAAAGTCCACTTCCTCTGCAATCCAGAGTCTTTCATTCATGCTATATATAACATGTTACAGTCTTAAATGTAACCCAGTCAGTCAAAGCAGTTCAAATGTTAACTTTTGAGGAGTGGAGGGTTTTAACTATATATTCTTTTCTGACATAATACAGAGTTTGTTTAGTTCCTAAAGGCCTCAAATGCAATTCTCTCCCTCTGTCCAGTTTACAGTACATATCTTTGTGTCACTGACTGGCTAATGACAGTAGAAAAACAGGGCTTTTAAGACCATAACATCTGTTTTCCTCTGGGCTGGGTTGTCCCCTTTAAGGCTCAGTTGTAAAACCAGTAAAAAGAAAAAAAAGGGGGCTTCCTCTACAGTAAAACAGTGTTAATTGGAGGTCACACGTGATCCATAAAGCCACAGCCAGGCACACTTTTTCCACACTCGAAATAGCAAATCCGTGACCACAGAGAAATACATTTTGGTGATATATCCCCTAATAGCTGTCAGAGGAGGGTTGTCCGACAAATTTATAGTTGTCCAGAAATATTGATTCGCATCCTAAAAACACACACATGCCGAAAGGATGATTTGTAAATTACATGAGGAAAGACTTGGAGAAATAAGGCATTTATTGCACATTTGGGATCGGAGTTTGACATTGATTGTTTTTGTCTCTTGTGTCTGTCTTCATGTTTTTTTGCAAAAAATTTTTTAAGGAATGTTCTAGAATCCCACATCTGGAGCACTCTGGTCGCCCACAGATGTAGTGATTTCTTCTTCTTCCTCTGCATCACTGCATGAAAAGAGGAACAGTCAAGGCCACACTGAGCCTGGCCCTGTAGCTGCCCTAACCACGACAATCCCAACTGCAATTGCAATGTTGTCAGGACCAGACTGAGTTGAATATAGTTTGTCAGTTCCAAGGATGTTTGCTTGGTGCACAAAACGTCCATCTGTCTTCCTGTGTCTTCAGAATTCCTTCAGAAAAGTTCACCCAAAATGGAACATTCTGTTATTGTTTGTGTCACTTCAAATCTGCATTACTTCATTCTGGGAAACACAAAATTAAACATTTTGCAGAATCTGTAAGCAGGTATTTTTCATACAACAAAAGCTCACAGTGGCCACAACTGTTAAGCTCCAAGAAACGACACAAAAAGCATCACAAAAGTAGTCCATGTGACTCGTATTTTCCAAAACTCTTTTGAGCCCATATGATAGCTTTGTGTCAGGAACAGATGGAAATTTGTAATTTATTCACTGACAGTGTTCCCCTCCAGTGACTTGTTTATGAATCATTTATTGTGTCAGACTTAACAAATTGTTGAATCAGAATTGTAACTTAAATTTTGATCTTTTGCACTGACAAACCTAATGCAAGGCTTTAGAATACTTGTAAATCAACACACAAGTTGGTTGTGGACTATTTTATGGTGTTTGGTTGTGTTTTTTGTCATTCTTGGATCTCAACAGATGTGGTCCCTATGAATTGCCATTTTATGGAAAAAAATATAAATTAGCTGGATAGAAATAGAAATGACCTGATAAAAATTAGCATTTGATGATGGCACATGTAATCTAAAGGTCAAAGAGCAAGACCGTAAACAAAACACTGTTAAATATCTAGGCAAGTTTGGAACAACATGAGCATGAATAAATAATGACAGAATTGTTCATTTAGATTAGCTATTTCTTTAAGTGTAAACAGCACAGAAAACAATTTTTTTTCCACGTTTGCACAGGAATTTGCGATCTTGGCCCAGCAGTGCTTTAGTAATGGAGACCTTTCTGTATTCAGGTGCGTCGACTGCCTTCATCAGCTTGATTTAATTACACGTCTTGTTTTGGTCTGGAGGTCAGACCTGCCAGACTCCCCCTCCCTTTCAACTGTCAACCTGGCAGTGGTCAGCAGATGGTGGATTGCTTTGTGAAATACCTCCGTAAGCCCCCGAGCCTCACTCCTTCTCAAGGAATTCACTTCACTGATGGTAGCGGACCAAGCATGGAGGCAGCTAGCCAGACAGATGGAAGGTAAAAAAGCATTTTTGCCCCTGTGTTTCTTTTCACTGAAAAGAGAACAACTCGTGTGAGTGGTTGCTATGGCGACTCGGACCCATCGGCTGCACGTAGACTGAGAAAACGGGGGAACGAGAGCGGTAGTGATTTTCATATAGGGTTTTGTGTACGTGCTCCTGTATGCTGTTTGATTGTGAGAAACTGCTCGCATGCGAAACCCACATCCTTGTTTTCGCTTCACGGGCAGTACTTTTTCACGTAGGGTAGCTAAATCAAACTGTAATTTATGATTATTTTATGCAGATGTTCTGCGTTGGATGTCTTTGCTCTTTTCTCAGAAATGCAGCTTCTCCAGCTTGCATGCTGAATTAACAGTATAGGCTGTTAAAAGCGTTCTGGTGGTGCACACCCATCCCTGAAATCTCCTCGCTCTCTTTTCTGGTTCCCTGTCTCCTCCTCCCGATTTCATGGGCTGTAATCGGTTGTGATAGTTTTGGAACGCTGGCTCTGGCTGAAGTGTTTCTGTTTCACACAGCTCAGGCATGTGCAGACAGAATTAAATGGCTACAGGAGATCTGCTCCTCCTAAATGATTGAAATACAAACTCTTTGTTAGCAGATCAGCAGGAAACCGAAAAGCGGTCAAGTATAGATCATTGACGTACGATCTGACAGCCCTTTTGAGGTACCTCACACTCCCACTGTGATAATTATGGCCAACTCTGAGGTCTGTGCGACCGCAGAACTTTATGCCGCCTCTTGACAATCCATAACATCAGATACAGTTACACATTCTCTGACTGTTTTGTAAAATCACGTTGAGGGTCAGGATTTATCTGTGGAAGCCCCTAATTGGAAGTGGCACCTAAGCTCATGATTAGCATTTCTGTGATGTGATATGTGTTGGTGTGAATGGTGCAAGTGTGCTGTTGGAGCCTCAAACGTTTGTGAAAGTCAAGGGGATTTTTTTGCTCTACAGCGGCACTATTTTCTGTGAATTTGATTCAAAGGGATAGTACAACCAAAAATGAAAATTCTGTCATTAATTACTCACCCTCATGTCATTCCAAACCTGTAAGACCTTCATTCATCTTCGGAACACAAATTAAGATATTTTAATGAAATCTGAGAGCTTTCTGACCCGCCATAGACAGCAAGGGAACTATGCATGTACTCTTGTGAAATACGTCATGGTACTCTCGTGAATGGTGGCGGACTGACCCGGAAGAGAAGAAATCATTGAATAAACAAAGTTTCTGTGTTTCCGTGGTAGTTCCCTTGCTGTCTATGGAGGGTCAGAAAGCTCTTGGATTTCATTAAAAATATATTCATTTGTGTTCTGAAGATGAACAAAGGTCTGACGCATTTGGAATTACATGAGGGTGAGTAATTAATGACAGAATTTCTATTTTTGGGTGAACTATCACTTGAAGCACATTCTACCTGCAGAGAGACGACAATGCGTGATTAGCACTTTTGAAAGTTTATTGGTTGGAAAACATCTGCAAAGTCAGTTTTAAATTGCACCATGGTGTGCTTGCCTTTGGTCTAAAGGCCTGATGAAGTAAATGATTCATAGTGTTTATTTTTTTCAAAAAGTTTTAAAAATACTTTAAAAATACTATTATTATTATAAATATTTTATATTTTTAGAGATTCATAGACAGAGAAGCAGTTTTGATAAAATATATATTTTTACGATTTTTAATTTTTTAAAGGGGTCATATGATGCTTTTTTAAAGATTATTATTTTGTGTATTTGGTGTAACAGAATATGTTGACATGCTTTAATGTTCAAAAAACACATTATTTTTCAAATACTGTACATTATTGTAGGTCCTCTATGCCCCGCCTCTCTCAAACGCTTCTTTTTCTGCAAAGTCCCTCCTTCCGACAAGCGCAGTCTGCTCTGATTGGCCAGCTGACCCAGTGCATTGTGATTGGCCGAACAAGCACTCGTCGGAAATGTAACGCCCCTCACCATAATCGCGAGCTTCATCTTTCAAAATAAATGTAAAGACCGTAAATAATGTAATTAGTTTTACCATCAGTTCAAGCCCGAAAGGGGAACAGAGTCGCGTGACAGACACAGTGATGAAGCTGGTATGTGTTTGCAGTACACAAGCCACGGTTAAGACTGCTGACTCCACTGTGATGTGACCCTGTCTCTCTCTCTCTCTCTCTCTCGCGCGTGCGCGCACACACAATGCGCAAAACTCCGCATTTGAACAGTCAATAGCAAATACTTAAACTAATAACAAAACAGTAGCTGATTCAGAAGCGTCAGATTGTCATAGCAAAGTCAGAATTACCTCCTCTCCTAGGTTCACGAAACGGTCATCCATAAAATGCATTGCTGTTCTGTTGTAAGTGATCTTAAAGATTCCTAAATGCATCTACTTTCGGAAGGCCAAATAAAGTGCTTTTGCTTTCGCCTAGAAACACACAGCGTCTCCCTGACATGGCTGCTTCAACGCTAACCACGCCTTCTTTCTTTGCGTGAACATTTGGGCGGCATTACGCAAATATTTCCACATAGTGACCTAGATATGTGGGGGTGTGTTAGAACGA